TGGAGAGCCCTAAATATATCATAATTTTAAAAAGATCAGAAGGAAAAAAATGCAAAAAACAAATGAAAAACAATGTTTGTCAAACATGATAAGGAAGTTCCTTTCATTCCCTGAACTCTCGGTTTGGTGTTAGAGAACCACTTACACATATGGAGCTTCTTCATCATTTACAGACACTGCAGCAAAAAAATATTTCACTGCTTTAGGAGTTATTAATGGACTGATATTACTGCTAGTCCTGCTGAAGAGCTTTCAGCAAATGAGACTTTACAGAAAGAAAATAAAAAAATAATTGTAGAACAGTTTCCCTTGAAGCTGCCCACATTTGGATTTATTACAGTTGATCTGTACTTACAATCTGATGCATGTTCTTCACATTCAGCCTTCTAGACTTTATTCTACCTTAATCATTCCTGGGCTTATTTTCTTCTTTCCTCTCATCATCACAATGATCTATGGGATAGCACAGTGCCGGAGAAGTCCTTGTAACTGGCTGCACCCAACTTCTCTGCCATCCCAACAATCTTTACTCTTGTCCCTCTGGTTTTGTTTGTTCTCAGATATTTTTTGGTTCCATTAAGAAGAGATTGATCTTTCCGGTCCCAGCATGCTAAATTATCCTCATTTTTGTAAGGTGGAAGTGACAAAAGGTTTATGTTTTCAATTAATTTTTAAGACTCATTCTTTCCTAGATTGCACATCTCTAAACTTGAACTTCCTTTTTGCTTTTACAACAAGCTGAAAATGAGACCGCTTAGCTGAGAAGGAAATGAATTATTAACCTTTTCAAACAACAAGAGAATCAGCTGATGAAAACTCCATATTTTAGAGATCTTTGAGAAGTAAGGTTTTATAGAAAGCAGAAGAAAAGTGACTGAAATATGAACTAGAAACACAGTACATTTATGTCATGTAATGAGATCCTAAGCTAAAAAAAAAAAAAAAAAAACGTAAATTATATGCAATGATTACTAAATTCTCCAATGTTAGATTAGAGCATCCAAAATATTGTTTCATTTTAGCATATAGGAGACCCACAGTTCTTTTTATTGCATGCTTTGGCTGTGCTTCTGTGTGTTCCAACTGTGAATTTTCACTGCACATTAGGTATGGAATAATCCAATTTTGCACAGCAAAACTTGGCAGACTTAAATGAATTTCCCTGATTAAAACACAAGATGTTTCAGTTTTGCACAGATTTCCCATCAGACTTGAAAATTTTTTAAGTCAAAAGCTTCACCAAAACAGACTGGATTTTTCTGAAGCTAGTCACCAATCCATTGAAGTTGATAATCAGGTGAAAGTGCAGTAAAAGCACAGTAAAATAAGAAAAATGTACCATATCCATTGGAACAAATGAGAGAACATCAGCTTCTATTGACAGTTGCTTTATTACTGGAAAAATCTTTTTTGGGGGGGCAGGGAGGGTTGGATTGCACAGAACCATCCTGTAAAGGCAAAGCCTAGCTGCTGTTAATCCTGGCTTTTGGAGGCTGAAAATCTGTGCTCTGAGTCTGTTCAGCCCGCTCCTTTTTGAGAGCAGTGGCAAAGATGATAAATTTCTGCACTGCTGCATCCCCAGCTCACAGTAATCAGACACCTTCAGAGATTCCTCCTGCAGCAACACCACTCCAGCATTCACTGAGCCAGAAACGCCAGGGAAATCTGGTGGGATAATGCTTTCTGCCTTGGGCAAGTCCCTCTTCATGAGCTGGGCAAGTTGGTTCTGTTCTTCTTCTAAGCAGCAGGGGCTGACCTGGGTGTCAACACGGTGCAGCCAGTGCTGGGTTTGGCAGCATCCCTCCCTCCAAGCCTGGCCATGTGGGAGCTGCTTCCTGCGCAGTTCAGGAGCTCCCTTTGGAGCCTGGGAGACTGATGGGCGAGAAAAGGAGGCGGCTGGCACAGCTGCCCCAGCTCCACCCGCCCGTGCTCGCAAATCCAGCTCACAAATCTATCTCAGTGTATTTACTGGAGCTGTGAAGCCTGCTAGTGCTGGGGATTGCTCATTAGCTTATATTCACAATTATCCCTAAGGAAAGGAAGACTACAGCCTCTGCTTTCAGCATGCAAATTGAGTAAAGTTTGGAGCTACTGCTACAGAATCACCAAATGGCAGGCTGTCATTACTGCAGTTGGTTTTCAGAATACCATTTTAATTGAACTAATTATCACAGACTTCAACAGGTATTTTGAGGTTTTAATGAATGCTTATAAGAATTTTAATCATGCTCCCATTGAAGGCAACACTAAAAATGCTTCAACGGCTTTGCATCACTACACACAGTGGAGAATATTTATTTTTCTTGTATAACTAAATACCGACATAGATCTGCTGCTCATACAATGGAAAGCTTTAAACTCAGGTACTCATGACTCACTCATTCTATTTGGAATATTTAGAAAAATAGAGCCTCAAATAAAAAATAGATAAAGCAAATTAATACCTAATTTAGGATGTTACCAAGAATAACATCATGAAGACACAGAAGCTAGAAGATGGAAGACACACAGAAGATGGAAGCACCACATTTCATTCTGATAACAAATGAGAAAACCTGCAAGCACCAGCCCTGCTTCTGCAAAATCCTCCTGACAACACCTGTGCAAAGGCAGAGACAAACTCTGTCCTGCACTTACTAAAGTGAGTGTGACTAAGTCACAGTAATTAGGACTCCAAATGAATCAATTGGAATAATCTCACTGATTTCAGCAGGATTATTCATCAGATCGGTAGCTAATATGTGCAAACAAAGGAATGTGCTGCCTGGAGGAGGGAGTATGAATAGCAAAAATGTTTAGATCTAGTTTCCTATGGAGTTTTGGCTTTTTTTTGCACCTACAGAGAGAAGCTGGTTCCATTTTTGACCTGACCAGGTGTTACTTTTTGCCTGCTCTGCATATTACTGTACAGTGTGCTGAATCAGGGCTGTCTCACCATCCATAATGTCAGAACATGTGTAGGACAGTAGTTGTTGCTCTAGAGAAACAGATTTTTTAACTATAATTTGCAAGTACCAAAAAGCTAAGTGTGGAATTCCCATGCTGAGGTGTGCCCTTAAAGGTGCCCTTAAGTGTCTGAGTACTGATGCAGGGCACACAGATATGACCTGTGCCCTTCTGGAGTGGCAGCTCAAGACCAGGGAGGGTGCTCTAGAAACAGATCTCCGGTGTAAAATAAGACTAAGCACTCTCATTTAGCCACCTGAGCCTCTCCTCGAATATCTTTCTATGCTTCCCATTTTCTGGTAGCACTAAAAGAGGTTGTGGACGTAATCAGCTGTCCTCAGCAGAAAAATGTGTGAACAAAAGGTAATGGCAGGTTCCACATACGTTGCTTTAGCTAGAACATCTAGAGAGGGTAAGGTAACTTAGCCAAGCTTTCAAGGAATGTGTAGTGGGTAATCTCGGAGGAATATAATGTCCAAGGGCAATAAAGATGTAATAAAGGGCAATAAACAAGATCTAAAAGCAGTCATCTGGCCCTTCTCACAGACTTACCAGGATTTCTAACAGATGTTGGCAAACTTTTCGTTTATAAACAGCTTTTACACAGAGTGTTCAGTTTTCCCGAGAAAATCATTCAAGTGTGTCTCTACTGTTTACATTCCAATGCACTCATTTTCTTTATTAACCTCCCTTGCTGTAGTTTAAACCCATTATATCTTGTCTTAGTCTCACTTGTGGTAGTTTTTTACATATGTGAAGGCTTACTGTGACATCTTCCCACTGTTGTAATCAATTAAATTGGGCCACTTTCTTTCTTTTAGTCTTTTTTTCTGCTGCTAGACCATGTATTCTAGACTGCTGATAACACTTTGTGCTTTCATGTGGCCGATCTTTGACTGCAGAAGCCCTGACTCTTCTCAGTATCACCTTTTACTCCTTAGTGAATGCTTTGCAAAGTATATGGGGCTGGTCCTAGTGCCTCCATCAGTTGAATGAGTGACATCAGAACAGCCAGGTGTTAGTTGTGTGGCTTATGCTGGCTGTCCCAAGGGTTTCACTTGGTAATTTCCATCAAGAAAAAAGGTCAAAAAAAGATCAGCTAATGAAAACTGAGCAGAAATTATAGAAAAATCTGGAGTAATGGACATTCTTTTTTACTCATTGTGTCCCGCAGTTGATATCAAAGTTCAGATTTGATTCTTGACATCGTTTGAACTTCAAAAGGTGTGAACTTCTTTTTCTGTATGAAGGGAAGGCTTCCAAGGTTTCCTGTAGTTCTGTTCAAAGAAACCCCTTCTTTTTTCATTCCTCTGTTCAATATTTGACTCTTTTTATTTGACCTTGTTCTTGTTCTTGTCTCTAGTTCTTAGTGAAACATAGAGCAGTGCAGAGTAGTAAAATTATTGCAGGGTTACTTCTCTCTCTCTCCTGGAAATTAGACACCACTGTGAACTAAGTTCTAGCACACTCACCTCTAGAGGGCCATCAGTTTCCGACAACATTAATTTTTCATATTCTAAAAATTAAGTTTTTAAGTGCAAAGGAAACCTCTCTAAACCAGAGGAGCACCATCTTGCTGCATCTACAGCAGACATACACAATAGCTCAGAGAAATGTGAACTACCCTCATTTAACTCTGCCCACCACTAGTAAGGGCAAGTTAAAATTCAATATAAGACTGTGTAAATGTTGTCTGGGTAGGAGAGAGAGGCAGCAGGAGGAAACAGTGTTGCAGTTCCAGACAATTCTGGACTAATAAATCATCGTTATATTATCCATGAACTCTCACAGCAGACATCAGAGTTCAAAGCTGTCAGTCTACCTGGCCACTAGTTTCCAAACTGGATGGGTAGGAAGATTCTCTAAATGGATTACTTCAGCAACTAAGTAATTTCAAGGGTTTGTTTCTCTGGTATAGATAGTAATATGCATGTTATTGATGTCTTGGAGCTGCAACAAATAATGAGAATTAAACATTTTCTTCCACATCCCAGCAGGATTAAATAGAGAATAGATTGATATAATATATATAATGATCTATGTGTGGTACATACCTTTAAAAATGTCTCCTTGGAGAACTATCACCAAAGACACAAAGGGTCATATTAACTTCAGGTATCCCACTTGTTCAAACCAACTGGAGTGATATTTGCATCTCTTCCAGATGAGATCTTAAAGCTGAAAAATTGTGATAGGTAAGAGAGCATTGTTGAAATAGCTAAATTCTGTACTAGGCACTTTAAAAGCATCCAAATGGCTTATTTTTCAGCTGTGAAATAGAAGTCTTTTCCACTGTTCTGGAAACGTGGGATTCAAGGTGACTTCACAGGGTGTTAATGGAAGAATGATCTGCACCCTGCTAACAATATTTCATGAGCAATGATGTAGCAAATAATATAGTCTATTACACTGTGCCACCAGATGCCATCTGAAAAACACATTGCTAGCTTTAGCATCCCAGATTTAATCAACTTTCCACAGAAATGACACTGATGCTGACTGCAAAAGACAGTGTGTCCTCAGCCCTGACTAGCAGCTCCTTGGATGTGGCAGTAATGTTGTCCCTTTTCTAGTACCTATTCCACCAGTTGAATTTCTGATGGCTAATGAATGGTGATGGCATTAGCCTTCCCTTTGATAGGGACAGACACCCATATGAATGGGGCACTTGTTTCAGTATGGGGCACCTTGAACATCCTCAGCACCATTTGGACTCACCTCCCTTTTGGGTTCAAAAGATAGGTAAGGGAAGGAATGAAGCTGAGGACAAAATACACTGTCTTCAGAATATACTTCCTTTTGCCTTTTCAGTTGCTAGACACTCTCACAAGCCTTTCATTGCAAATCACTTCTCCTGGAGCACCATTAGAGTGATGAACGTTTTAAATGGAGTCAACCTATTCTGCAGAAGAATAGTTGTAATGACATGCATGCTCAAGTTTGCCCACAGGGGCTTACAGACTAAAATTAAAGGGACAGAGGACAGACTCACTAGGACATGAAAGGAATTTGCTCCAAATAAATTGGCAAGTAATTTGTTTGAAGTTTGAAATATATTTTCAAAGGTCAAGGCCTTGCTGCTTATCAATTTTGTTTATCAAGTGGTACTGTTGTTAACTTCCACCAAAATAAATTTGCACAACCAGCATCAGGAAGAATATCTCCTGTAATACCTACTCTACTGGCTAAGGGGAAAATTCTTAAATTAGAGTCTAGGCTTTCTGCTTAGACCTTGCCTAGGGTGAGTGTTACATAGAAAATAACAAACTTTAATGACATTTTAATGGAAGAAAATGAAAACTTGTCTCTGATCTTCTGCAGTTCAGCCATTGGTAACTGTTGTAATTGTATTCTTTTGAAGTTGTATTACATCAGTATGAGTAAAAAGAAATGGATGTTGCCCTGAGCTATCTGAAGGTAGGTAATGCAAATAGCAGTGACAATAATAGTTAGTCACTGGTGATGGGCAGAAATTAATAGAAATTCATGAAGAAAGAGGTGAGAAGAACAGCTGAGGGGAAGATAACTATAAGCAATTTATAAATTCTGAATTACATTTTACAGAACACAGCGTATTTTCTGTTAAATTTATTTTAGCATTGTTTTTTGTCCTTTTCCTTATCTTTCTTTTCCTTATGTATATATATAATTAAAACCATGTATGTTTAGAAATACATATAAATAAAGCCTATATATGTGGTTTTCATTTTAAATGAAGATTTTGAACAGAAGGAGGAAAAAGCAGTAAAGAAAATAGCAACTCCAGCTTCCTTTTTCCATGACCACTATCTTGGAACTTTTAGTAGTGTGAAACACCAGTGGGAAGATTTCCTGGAGGGCTGACAAATACAGCGGCAGGCATGCAACCCCCTCAACAAACTCTGTCATTGCTCCTGCCTTCTCTCCCACTTAGATGCCAGTAAGCTTTACTTCTTCAAGTGAGCCAGTTGCACAGAGCCATAAGCTTCCTGTCCATTTTAACACATAAAACTAGCAGTAAGAGAGATTTTATCTTGGAGGGATCTATCCCTTTGGCTCACTCCTCTTGCAACTCAAAGCAGAAGGCTTGGTGATCACTCAGTTTTTGCCTACCTTTTGTTCCAGTTCCCTGAAAACTTTCGCCTTCATACAGCTTTTTCTTTTCACCAATAAAATAGAGCAGGAGCACCTTCAGAAGCAGCCAGAAAGGCAATGTTTTCCCCACTCAATTAAATTTCTCTTGGCATTTTCTTTCTCTGCACCTCTCGGTGCTCATGCAACCTATTCCCCTGCAGGGCTCAGCGTGAGCAGCCGCCTGCCGAGGCAGAGGAACTGCGTTTAGTCTGCAGCAGGAGTGCTCAGCACTCGGTACTTTTCCTAACACTTGACTGGGAAAATTGGCTGGGGAACCAGAGACCTGATGCAAGGAGTGACTACAAGATATGAGCAGAAACCTCCATGTTTTAACACCTGGAGATGAAACATACACAAAGTGAGACTGAAAGACTTTTCCAGAGGGGCTCTGCCCCATCCTGACCTTTCCCTCCTGCGTTACTCTTTAGTTATATATTGTCATTCTACCTCCTGTGAAATGACAGTGCCTTGTCATATACTGAGAGCACCAGCATCCCTGTGGGAAAAGAGCAGGACTGAAGCTATACAGCAGGTCCTGCCTGGCAGGAGGTCACTTTCATTCACAGTTTGGTAGGGCCATGATCACTGCTAGCTCATCTTCTTTCTCTCAAGTTAGTATTCTGACAGGCACTGGGCAAATAATTGCAATACCTGAGTTTCCTTTACTGTAAAGAGAGGCAAGATTGTTATTTTCTCCCCTTGGAAGTGTGTTATAAAGAATAATTAGCCCCAGTTTGTAAATCAGTTTGTAAAGAAGAAAATATCTGAGGAAGGGCCAAGCACAATACGCTAATGTTACTGAATTGGTGTTCAAGCTAACAACTCTTTGCTAATCTTTGTAGAGAGAGAAGGGAAAGGTCTCCAGTCCATCACTTTGAATCCAAAGTTAGTTCATTTGTCCTTTACTTGCTGGATGACCTCTCAGCTATTTCCCATCATTCTCCAAAGTTTCCCACAGGCCATGTTTGTAGCATGAGCTGCAAGGAGTGCAACCTGGTATTTCATAGAGTCACACCAAGTTACATACAAGCAAGTGTATCCTGGCAGTCCCTCAGTCCTGGGCCAGCTGCAGGCCACTGTGGTGGCCGAGCTCCATACATGACACCAGACTAACCCTGGGCCACCCTTTCTCTGAACTCAGCCTCAGCACACATGAACAAGAGGTGTATTTTTTTTTAGTTCTGAGACATGTGAAATTCATCCAGATCTCTTAATTCTGCTTTGCCCCATGTCTCACAGTAGGTCTTTTTAACTTCTGTCTCTAAATGAGGCAGAACTTCCCAGGCCACAGGCAGTTCATTTAAATATAAATGTAAAAGCTGTGCTGGAGGAAATGGTTTCTGCTCAGCTATTTGGATATGAAATCAAATCATTTCTCTTCTGTTTTCAAATTGGTGGCTAACGGACAGTAACAGTGAAAAAGGGGGACTGCAAGGCTGGGTTTACCTGAATTAAAGACATTCATTCCTCTGTGTGCTATAACCTATATTGAAAGTAGTGTGTTTTCAATTATGACATGAGCTTATGGAATTTTTCTTCTTTGATCTCCAGAACACCAGAGAGAAAAGCCTTTAACCCTCAGGAAATTGTTACATGTAGAATTATACACCAATGCCATCAATTATTCTTTCTTATGTTCACAAATAATAACAAAGGGATGAATTGATGGGTATGACCTCTACTTCAGGCAATAGGAAACACCAACTACAAATAAAAAGAAAGAAATTGATAAAGAAATTGGCTAGCTGAGTTTCCCTGAAACACAGAAACAGGTGCTGAAAGCATAGGAATCCAATAGTGATTTCTGATCTCTGATGTCACAGAAAAAAACCTCAAGGATGTGTCTTTGAGTGAAAGAATGGTTCCTGTTCTTTTTCAGAGGAAGTCAAAAGGCAGCCAAAACATCAGTACTTTCTTCAATGTCCAATTGTTCTTATGCTTTCAAATTTAAGCCACAACAGTGAGCTCCTTCTTCCACCATAATTTGGGTTTTGGAAGGAGCAATGCAATATTAGAAGCACAAAAATTGTGGGTTAGAGTCCCCTTGCTCCTCATCCTCTTATCTTGAGCTGCCTTGTCACAAACTTCCTCACCTTCTCTGATGTACAATTCACTCTTTCCTATGAGGTATCTAAAATTTTTTCTTTCACCTTGTAGGAAATAATTAATTCTCCTAAATACATTCTCTTTTATCTAAATGTCTATACCCTGCAGAGACTCACAAAAGCACATACGTGCATTTTTCCTGCATCTTAACATTTTGCAACCTTGCAAACCTTTGCTCTTTTCTGATCTGAAGCCTATGTTAGCACATGTAGGTGATCTGTGCAAAATCCCTGGCTGTGGGATGTTGGCTTCTTTAATTCAGCTGCTAGAGTGATTTGCAGAAAGCTAAATATTAAGTATTTTTCTCATATTATTTTTCTATATAAACTGCACTGAGTTTGGCACAGGGATGATAGTCATTTCTTATTGGGAATTAAAGATGAGAAGAAAGGTGTATAAAAGCTATGTTATATAACATCCTGTGAACCTATGACCCAAATAACCTAAACTGAAAAAGGTATCACACAGTAGATGAGTATGGATGATGTATTTTCTTGCTGCTGAAATTTCCCTCTGTGAGCTATAAGCCAGCCCTTCATGAATTTACAGTGCAATAATTTTTTGAACAAGAATTGTTTCAATCTTTGTAAACATTTTGCAGCTGAGGTCTACGAACACTGAACAAATCAAGATTGGATAGCAAAGTGGAGGTTGGAGGTGCTGACTTTGCTTTTCCCTTCCACAGCCTGTGGCACTAGCACTGGCTGTGATCTAGACTTTGGTCCATTATGAAAAAGGATTTATCTTTATTCCTTATGGTTCCTTGGACCTATCAATTTCATTTCTATTCACAACATTTCTATAGTTCCTATTTCTATTACTGTGCTCATAATCTCTGGTCCATCTTCTGCACTCTTCCCAAAACAGATGGCTTTTAGTCTTTTAGATGGCTTCTGTCTGCCCGTTGTGTCTAGAGTAACTAAGGGAAGAGTAATTTATGTTAGATATCAGTGGTTCAA